CATGACCTTGACCCAAGGTTATTTTGGGAAATTTCAAGGTCAATGGAAGAAAAATTTCATAATTCGTGTCCGGTCCATATCTTTCTTTTGGATAAACTTGGTAGGTTCTCATTTCACTGAAAGATTGCCCATGACCCAAGGGTGTGTCATGACCTTGACCCAAGGCTATTTGGGTAAGTTCAAGGTCACTGGAATAAAAATTTCATAATTTTTGATTTTGACACATTTCTTTATTATGGAAAAACTTACTTCTGAAAAACCCAGCGGGGGGTATTTCGTCCCGTTTGGACAGTTCTAGTTAAATCCCGGAAACAGACCTCTTGTTTCTTATAATGAGAAAAATCCATTCATCCATCAGTTGAAAGCTGGAAACTCAGACCATCTGCAGAATTTTATTAATTCGTTTAATTGCCAAGTTAAACTTCTGATATTTACCCTGAATATTATTCAAATGACGCTCAAATGAAAGTGCAAACTATGAGTGAAGAACATAATTAAATTTTTATAATTTCAATTATTACATGGTACTCATATTAAACAATGTTTGAATGAAAAGTTGTAGTTTTTATAAATAACAACATTTATACATGCAATGTATATTAATATTTAAAAAAAAAATATCTTGTAAGTTGTTTTTTGTTTTGTTTTATATTACAGTGAAATGTGACATGACTTTTTATATGTGAAAAAGGTCGTTGCTAGAATGATTTTTTTCTTCTTTTTTTTTCGTCCTCCGTAAAACTAAAAATAAAATTATGGTCGCCTGATGGTGATTTAATATATCATAATAAAGTATTTTATTTTTGTATTATACATATAATTTCATGCACACTATTCATAAATCTCCATTAATTGTTAAATTCAGTCTAAAAATGTTTATCATTTTAATTATACCCCCCGCAAACGAATTTTGGGGAGTAAATACGAATCACCTTGTCCATCTGTCCGTCCGTCCGTCTGTCTGTGCAATCATGTCCGGTCCATATCTTTCTTACAGAGGGACATTAGAATGTACTACTACACACTAAAATTGCTCATGACCTAAGAGTGTGTCATGACCTTGACCCAAGGTCATTTGGGAAAGTTCAAGGACACTGGAAGAAAAATTTCATAATTCGTGTCGGGTCCATATCTTTCTTATGGATAAACTTGGTAGGTTCTCATTTTACACAAAGATTGCCCATGACCTAAGGGTGTGTCATGACCTTGACCCAAGGTCATTTGGGAAAGTTCAAGGTCACTGGAAGAAAATTTTCATAAGTCATGTTTGATACATATCTTTTATGGATAAACTTGGTAGTAACGGTGAAATGTTTACTAAATTTTGTAAACGTTTAAACGGATAGCAGTAATTGAAACAATACTGTTTAAACGGGAGATATTCTATGTTGGATTTTAATGGCTACTTACTCATGAAAGTCGAATTTGATAATCAATTCTTTTACTTTAATATAAGTTTGAGTTATTTTTACAAATTTATTGTTGGTTATTGTGATTTAATAGTAAGAATTTGAGGCGCATTAAATTCATTCACTTACGACCTCGTCACCCATTTGCTTGGATTGTTTGGCTACCGGACGTAGTAAAGATGGATCTTTTAATCATGAAAGAAGTAAAAAAGGACCTGCTGACTATTTTTAAACTTTTCAAAGACTTTCAAAAATATATTCAAAATATAATTATCAAGTTTTATATTTTAAGTGTCGTTAAACATCGCTCGTATTAGCAACTCGGAAATATGAATTATGTTAGCCCGTATCGGGTTTTAGATATTCTCATTCTATATGTTTCCAGTTTAGATTGTTGCTTATCAAATTGTCAAAGTCAGTGTTTCTTTTGTAAATTTTGAAATAAAACAATTTGCTTGTGGTCAAAATTTTTTTCTGAAGACATTGATAATGACCTTCGTGTAAACGTTGACTGAAACTGTAAACATTTAGAGCATAATCGAAACGTCTCCGTTTACACGTGTAATCGTTTCGCCCTTACTTGGTAGGTTCTCAATTCACACAAACATTGTCCATGACCCAAGGATGTGTCATGACTTGAACCAAGGTCATTTGGGAAAGTTCAAGGTCACTGGAAGAAAATTTTCATTATTCCTGTCTGGTCAATATCTTTTTTATGGATGAACTTGGTATGGTTTCTATTTCACACAAAGATTGCCCATGACCCAAGGGTATGTCATGACCTTGACCCAAGGTCATTTTGGGAAATTTCAAGGTCAATGGAAGAAAAATATCATAATTCATGTCCGGTCCATATCTTTCTTATGGATAAACTTGGTATGTTCTCATTTCAAACAAAGATTGCCCATGACCCAAGGGTGTGTCATGACCTTGACCTAAGGTCATTTTGGGAAATTCAAGGTCACTGGAAGAAAATAAACAATAAACTTTACTGAAGCAAATAAAGTATAAAATTTGGACCTCCTCCCAAATACTTAAAAAACATTGACGGATTTGACCCCACTATCATTGTTTTTATTATGTTCCCAAAACAGAGTTTGGGAACATATTGTTTTTACTGTGTTTCTTCTTTTTCTTTTTTTTTCTTATTTCTTCTCCGGACTTTTTTGTCCGCAAATGTTCTCAGAAACTGTTCACCCAACTGAGCGAAAAGCGAATACCTTTTTAGGGTTAATAGGTGTGTAGTGTAGGTGGTCGCAGCGAAGGTCATTTTTGCGCGCATACGCATGCACGTGCAGGCGCGTGCAACACGCAAAATTTCTTATATCCTTAAAATAGCTATAACTTTTATATTTTTTGATGAAATAATGTGAAACTCATTATATAAGGATATATGAATAGCGTAGATAAAATGACACACTCAAATAAGCACGAACTTGCATGTGCGCTTCGCTCTGATTGGCTGATACAAAAAACTCAATATCTTTTCTGTTTTTTTTTAAGAAATGCTATGAAATTTGAAATACAGGCATACTTTAGAATGTCCTACAATATGATATATAACAATTGTCATGAAAACATGCACGTGCATATGCGCTACAATCTGATTGGCTTAAACTTTAAAGGGCTATAACTCCCTTGTTTTTTAACCAAACATGATAGAATTTAGAACATAGAGAGACATAGTTGACTCCTACAAGAAGGTTTGGTCATCATGCACCAGCATTGACGTGTGCTTTGCTCTAATTGGCTGAAATAATAATCTCTATATCTTTTTTTGTTTTTTGACGAAATGTTTTGAAATTTAAAACATAGTCATGCATTAAGATATTCTTCAATATGATATATAATATTTTCATGAAATCACGTGCGCTGAAATCTGATTGGCTGAAATTTAAAATGGCTATAACTCCCTTACATTTCAACATAACAGGATGGGATTTAGAACATAGAGAGATATAAAAAGCTCCTACAAGAAGATATAGTCATTATGCACGTGCATGCATGTGCACTTTTCTCTGATTGGCTGAAACAAAAATCTCAATATCTTTTTTGTTTTTTGACGAAATGTTTTGAAATTTAAACATAGTCATGCATTAAGATATCCTACAATATGATATATAATATTTTCATGAAATCACGTGCATGCATGTGTGCTGAAATCTGATTGGCTTAACATTTGAATGGTTATATGCCCTTATTTTCCAACCAAATAGGATGGGATTTAAAATAATGATAGACATAATGTCATATTTAATAGAGCTTAAAGGGAATATAGCACCAAAAGGGAGTTGGGGAGCGTTTGGGGAACATCTGTAACGGTACCCGTTACAATTAGCCATAGTTTCATTTGTTTTCATTTTTTTCCTCCTGTTTGTCAGGAAATTGTGGGCTGGATTTTTTTTTACTGAGATGTGAACCCCCCTCCCCAGTCCTGAAAAAAAATTCTGGATCTGCATCAGTATTGGCAGTAACTGAATGTCACATCGACAACGGCAGATAACTTCACTATATGAAATTTGTCTAGTGTAGCACGCGATGATCTTTGACCCTTTTTGAACTTTAACCCATAATCATTTGAATTTATTTTACCCCCACTATACTTAAACTTGTACTTACTGACTGTCATACTGGTCTCGTCAACTTCATGAAATATAATCCAATTATAACACAAAATGAATTAATCCAATACACACCAGACTGCAGCATGTGCTAATGCTATCCCATTTGGCAAACCTTCATCGATTCAGTCACCTTATTAGATGAAGTGGGAATCGACAGAGGTAGGCTGAATGGTGTTTAATCTAAAAATATGATAATGGATGATGCAACCCAATGTAATGTAGAATTTTTCCAAAAGGAGTTCACATGTTAACCATGTTAACATGTATAGTACAAGAACAAATTTTAAATTAATTCATAACAAATGAAGTTTTATCAAAACTTTTTCATCTCTAAGCCTATTCTAAAAAAGGTATGTGCTGTGTGTTTGTGGTGTTGAGGGGGGGGGGGGGGATTTGTAAATTTTAAAAGGTCCTATTATGAGCAAAACATTTATCAAAATCTAATTTATGTCATTAATTAAATTCAAAGTGGTAATGAATTAAGCATGTAAAATACATATTATAAGAGGTTCTGAGTATATGTCACAGGGTCTGAGAATTTTCATAGTCAATTTAACGAATATATACATGTTTGTGTAAATTTTAGAATTATTTTGACTTTTCCTTGGAAAGCCGCCCAATATGTACGAGTATGTATTTAGAGGCAAACACTTTAGTGCGGGTATTACTGTCTCAGTATTACTGTCTCATGACAACATCTAGTATTTCTATGGAATCATTGTTAGGTTGTGTAGATTCAAATTTGTTAAAATTTTGACCTCCGAGAGTAGGGCGCGGTCAAAATTGGCAATCAAAATTTTATATAGAAATATATATAGAAAACAATACTCAGGTGACCTATAAGGCCCGTGGGCCTCTTGTTGACAGATTTATGCCCCTTGGACTTGGAAGAATTCCAATTTGGGGGGAGGGGAGCATAATATTTTACAAACATCTCATATTAGTTAATGAGTTAATTTTTTGATAGATGCCTAAGAGAAAGTCACTCACTGGCAGTAAAGAGCGCAAGAGGGATGCTATGAGGAAGAGGCAAAAGAGACTTCAGTCCTGCCCTGATCCTCCATTAGAAGAAACACTGACAGTGGATGCAGCTGCTCCTGGTTCAGAGTGTGGCTCTATAGGGTTGCCACCTACTTCGCTAAAACCCTTGGCCAGGGTGCAGGCCTCTCCTAGTGAGAAAATGCACTCAGCCCCGAGGTTGTCACCTCCTCGGGGAAGTCGTCTGATTGTCCCAAAGGACAAGGTAGCATCCCCTGACTCCCCAGCGCGGGTTTGTACTCCACCGAGAGTACCTGAATCGGACATTTGGATGATGTCTGGTTCAGCAGGTCAGGCGCAGCTGATACCTCCCAAGGGGGAAGAGGTCAGCAGGGCTTTAAAAAAAGATGTAAGGCACAGAGAGGAAAACAAAGGAAATATAGAGGAAAACAAAGGAAATATAGAGGAAAATAAAGGAAATGTAGAGGAAAATAAAGGAAATGTAGAGGAAAACAAAGGAAATATATTAGAAACTAAGAAAATGATAGAGGAATCAGAGAAATTTGAAAAGAAATCAGAATTTGAAAAGAAATCAGAAATTTGTGATAGAGAATCTAAAGAATCTGTCCAGGTATATAGACAAGATGTTAGAGCAAGTGAAGGTAAATGTTTGAGAAATCAGAATTTGTCTGTTCAAGGCTCATTTCATCAGGGAGATCCAATGTTTGGTGAAAATGCTGGAACTCAGTGTGTAGCTAACTCTTTAACAGCACTGGCATATCATCAACTGAAGAATTGTGAACAATGGCAATCAGCAGATATGAACAAAATATTGGCAACAGGAGATGAGTTGTATTCATATTTACAGTGCAGTTCTACAGTTGCAAGCAGATACCTTTTAGTAAGTGAGTTGCCTCAGTTTTTCGAATGCTTTGGTAGACTGTATGAGTTTAAAGCAAACGAGTCTTTACCAACTCTGATAAACTTAGCAAATGTAGTACTGGATTATGCTGAATTCAATGCTCATGAATTGTCAGAGGCACTTCAAATAGCCCTTGATGACAGTGATGGGTGTTTTGTATGTTTTGGCGGAAATACATTTTTGATAGGGAAATCACACAATAATTTTTTCACATTTGATTCCCACTCAAGGTCTTCTGCAGGTTTTCAAAGTGTAAACGGTAGAAGTACACGAGTTTTGTACGAATCCGTTCAAGATTTATGCAATCATGTTCTGTCTTTAGCTAGGTCAATGGGTTATACTGAAGCAATTGAGTGTGAAATAACTGGAGTGCAATGTTCAGCTCGACAGCTACAAAATGATGATGAGGTAGAATTTGTTGGGAGTGAGAACCGTCAGATAAGATTTTTACCACTTTCATGTGATCAAAAGAAAACACTATGTGAAATCTTTGGAATACCATTTTCTGTGAATGAGTGTGAAAATCAACATCAGTATGGACAGGAAATTACAGTACCAAAGAGCACTGTACCAGTTGAGCCAGATGGAAATTGTTTCTTTCGAGCAATCTCATTCTGTTTGACGGGAAAGCAAGACTACCATCAGACAATACGTTTAGCAATATGCAATCACCTGTTGGAAAATGGTTTACTTTTCACATCTTTCTTAAGGTCAGGTGAAAATTCTGTAGAAAACCACATTTCTGTGTCGGGCATGCTCATGGATGGAAAGTGGGCAACTGAAGTAGAGATTCTAGCACTATCCCATTTACTGAAAAGTGAAATTCATACATACTCACAGAACAGATGGGTCACTTATTCTGGACAAATGGTGAATTCAGAAGAAAACATGTTCTCACAGAGGGGCATTTATCTAGATCATATAAATCAAAATCATTATAATGTTGTTACATCCATTACAAATGGAGGAGAAATTGATACAGAGAAAAACCAGAAGAAACGACAACAAGAATGCATTTTATTACAAAATGAAAGATACAAAATTTCAGATGTTAGTGCTGAAAAAAAGAAATTGTTGAGGAAAAACTTGAAGTACAGAACAGACCCAAAATTTAAAACAAAATGCATTGCAGATGCTAAGAAAAGATACAAAAATGATAAAAACTATCGTGAAAATTCAAAACAACTAGGTATTAACAGATATAAAACTGACCAGCTACACAAAGAAAAAGTGAAAGAAAGAAGTAAACAAAAGTATGAAACAAACAAGCTTCACAAAGAGAATGTCAAACAAAGAAGCAGAGAGAAGTATAAAACAAACCAGGCACACAAAGAGGACATCAAACAAAGAAGCAGACAGAAGTACGAAACAAATCAGACCCACAAAGAGGATGTCAAACAAAGAAGCAGACAGAAGTATGAAACAAATCAGACCCACAAAGAGGATGTCAAACAAAGAAGCAGACAGAAGTATGAAACAAACCAGGCTCACAAAGAGGATGTCAAGCAGAGAAGCAAAGAGAAGTATAAAACAAACAACGCACACAAAGAAGACGTCAAACAAAGAAGCAGACAGAAGTATGAAATAAACCAGACACACAGAGAGGAAGTCAAACAAAGGAGCAGAGAGAAGTATAAAACAAATCATACCCATAAAGAGGAAGTTAAACAAAGAGGCAGACAAAAGTATAAAACAAACAAACAACATCAAGAGAAGGTTAAAAAAGCCAGTAAAATTAAATATCATTCCAGTGCAGAAACAAAGGAACAGAAAAAGGAATCGGTACAAAAACAAAGACAAGCCTTGTATGAAATGCTTGAAAATATCGATGAAGTAGTGAAATCATTTAAAAATTGTGTTGGACATGGACCTGAATATGTATGTTGCTGCTGCCATCGCCTTTTGTTTGAAAATCAGGTACAAGGATGTACGCTTCAAATGTATGAGAAAAATATAAAGGCAGATCATGTTGCAAATTTATGCATTGATAAGAAATATGTTCATACTTGTGCATCTGGATGTTCTCCTTATTGTCCCAAAGCAAGAACATGGATTTGTTTTACATGCCATAGAAAAATTTTAAGTGGAAATGTTCCGGCTGAAGCAGCTTTCAATAAAATGTGTTTGGAAGATATTCCACCAGAACTCAATAGCCTGAATACTTTAGAGCAGCATTTAATTGCTCTGCATATACCATTCATGAAAGTAACCATGCTTCCAAAAGGTGGCCAACAAAATGTACATGGACCTGTTGTATGTGTGCCATCAAACATTAAAAAAACAAGCAGTTTACCTCTGAATGAAAATGAAAATCTCGTGTTACGAGTTAAACTGAAACGAAAGTTGTCATACAAGGGATATTATGAATATCAGTTTGTAAATCCAAATCACGTGAAAATTGCTCTCAACTACCTGAAAGAAAACAATCAGTGGTATCATGATGTTGAAATCAACACAACATGGGAGAAGGATAATGACCAAAGTAACTTATTCAGCCAGGCAGAAGCATTAGACAATGAAGAAATAATTGAGGAACAGAATAGTGTAATTCAAGAAGTTGCCACAGATACTTGTTTACAGCCTGTAGATATTGCGCAAGAAGTTCTTGATCACTACTTTGATGATGTTTACAATCTTGCTCCAGGTGAAGGACAGAATCCAGTAAGAATGTTGCAAGAGGAGGGCAATGAAGCAAAAACTTTTCCTCATTTATTTCCTACTGGAAAATATTCATGGAATGAAAGTCGAGATGTAAGGATTACCCTTTCTCGATATTTTAACAACAGACTGATGAATGCAGATAACAGATTTGCAAAGGATACCAATTACATTTTCTTTTGTCAGTACTTATCTGAATTGAACCAGGTAATTGAGAAAACACAAATTTCAATTCGCAAGTCTGTATCGAAACTTGATGGAGGGATACCTGTCACGTCAGAAATGTTACAAAATCCTGTTCTGCTTGCAAGACTGCTTAAGAGTGATGAGGCTATGCGATTTATGCAACCAATTAGAGGAACACCTGCATATTGGTCAAGTACACAAAAAGATCTTTTTGCTATGCTTCGACAACTTGGAATCCCCACATGGTTTTGTTCTTTTTCTGCAGCAGAATTCAGGTGGAATGAAATACTGGGTTCAATAATGCTACATATGAATGACAATAGAAATCCCTCTGATCTAGATTGGTCTGAAAAAAGTGAAATTCTGAGAAGCAATCCTGTAACGGTTGCTAGAATGTTTGAACATAGGTTCCATATATTCCAGAACAATGTAATAATGTCACCAGCAAAACCCATAGGAACTATTGTAGATTACTTTGTACGAGTTGAGTTTCAGCAGAGGGGTTCTCCTCATATGCACTGCTTGTACTGGGTTGAGAATGCTCCAAAATTAGATGAGGACAGTGAGGAGACTGTTTGTCATTTCATTGATAGGCATATTACATGTGCTCTGCCATCGGAGGACATTGACCAAGAACTTAGACAAATTGTATTGGATGTACAACAACACAGCAAAGGACACTCAAAATCATGTAGGAAGAAAGGAACAGAATGTAGGTTCAATTTTCCAAGACCGCCTTCAGAGTGCACATTCATTTCAAGACAATTGGAACAAAATGTGGATGATTCAAGTAGCGAGTTAGGAAGTGTGCAAGCAAAGGAGATTTTGTTGAAGGTGTGGAATGAAGTAGTGGATGATGCTAATGCATGTAAAACAACAGAGGCGATATTTAGCAATATTAACCTATCACAGGAGTTGTATGAAAAAGCACACAGAGTATTGGCCTCTAAAACAACGACAGTTTTGAAACGAAATCCAACAGAAATGTGGACAAATCAATACAACCCATGTCTGCTCAAAAGCTGGGATGCTAATATGGATATACAGTATGTATTGGACCCTTTCAGCTGCATTGTCTACATTATATCATACATTTCAAAGTCTGAGAGGGAAATGGGAATGCTATTAAAGCAAACTCAAATAGAAGCAGCAGAGGGAAATTTGAGTGCACATGATACCATCAAGAGGGTAGGATCAGCTTATCTAAATCACAGAGAGGTCAGTGCACAGGAAGCAGTATACAGGGTGTGCAATCTTAAGATGAAAGAAAGTTCACGAAAAGTCATTTTCATACCTGTTGGGGAAAATCCAACTCGTTTGAGTAAGCCTCTTGCACAAATAAAAAAGAATCAGCAAGTTGAGGTTGGTGAAAATGATTTAATAGCAGATGACAATGATGATGAAGAAGATAGTATGTGGATGACAAATATTGTGGACAGATATGAAAACCGTCCGGAGTTAAATCTTTTCCATAAAATGTGTCTCGCTGAATTTTGTTCAGAGTACAGAGTGCTTAGTAAATCTCAGATTCCTAAGGGCAAAAAAGATGGTGTGTATGAATTGAGAAATGGAAAGGGTTTCATTCAAAAGAGAAGTAGAGGCAAACCTGCTGTTATACGATATCCAAGATTCCATCGAGATAATGCACCTGAGAAATATTATCAGTGTCTGCTACAACTTTTTCTTCCATACTGGAATCTGAATCAGTTGAGACCAACTGGATTTGATTTGTACCAGACATTTTATGAGAGTGGACATGTGAGAGTGAAACCAAACACAAACTTAGAAAAAGTAAAAAACATAGTGGATAGTAATCATGCTTACTTTTCAAAAAGTGAGGATGATATTGAAAATGCCCAGGATGCATTAGAAATGCTTGGTGAACCAGAGGACGCATGGGCAAGTTTATGTCCAGAAACAGAATTGAATAGAAGAGAATGTTTGAATGAAAAATCAAGAAATGAGCAGGAGAATACAGAATCAGAGGTCACAAATGAAATTGAGTGCAGTGGTTCTGAAGATGCTATATATCATTTAAGGGAAACTCAAACCACCAGAAAAGAGATGCTACCTTTACTGTGCAGTTTGAATGACAAACAGAAGCTGATTTTTTATGCTGTTCATGAATGGTGTATCAAGAAAATATCTGGAGACAATGTAAAACCTATGTACATTTTTATAACTGGAGGAGCAGGGACAGGGAAAAGCCATCTGATTAAGACAATACACTACGAAGCATCTCGTCTCTTTGAAAAATCACTGCCTTCTCCAAATGCAGTATCAGTGATTCTCACAGCATTTACAGGAACAGCTGCATTCAATATTGGAGGAAATACCATACATCATGTGTTTTCTTTAACAAAAGCTTTACCAATTCCATATCAACCCTTGAAGGAACAAAGTTTGAGTGGGATAAGAACCAGACTAGAACATTTGCAGATTTTGGTCATTGATGAGGTTTCCATGGTGTACAAAAGACTCTTGTATTACATTCATGAACGACTTGTCCAAATAAAAAAGTGTAAAGAACCATTTGGTGGCGTATCTGTGATAGCAGTTGGAGATTTTTATCAACTTCCACCTGTTAAACAGCGAAAAGATGAGAGGTTGTATAAAGAAAATGGTTCATATCCAATTGACTACTGGCTAGATCTCTTCAAAATTGTGGAGTTGGACGAAATAATGCGACAACGTGAAGATAAAGCATTTGCAACTGTTCTGAATTCACTGCGTATTCGAACATGTGAAGAACCCTTATCAGATGAAGCATTGGAAACACTGCGGGAATGCATCAGAGAAGGACCAGATGATGTTCTTCATGTTTATTCTACAAACCAAGAGGCAAATGAATACAATCTTAAAATGTTGCATGGGAATTGTGAGGAATTAATTGAAGTGCATGCTGATGATTATCAGAAAGACAAAACAACAGGAAAATTAACTTTACGTGACAAACCTTTAGTTAGTACCCGAGTTGATGGTCTCTCTGCTTCCTTACTTTTGGCTGTGAATGCAAGAGTAATGCTAACACGAAATGTAAATGTTGAGGATGGACTAGTGAATGGTGCAATGGGATATATTTCAAGTTTTATGTTTAAAAGAACAAAGCCTGCACATGCAGTAGAAGTAGTTGAAGTCATTTTTGATAGTTCCAGTATTGGTAAAATACAAGGGAAGAAAACACCAAAAGGAAATATTGTCCCAATTAAAAGAGTCGAGGAAGAGATAAATGAGAAAAATATAAAGAGTGTTGTCAGGCATCAATTTCCACTGAAACTGTCATGGGCATGCACAGCACATAAAGTTCAAGGCATGACTGCCAAGAATGTTGTTGTGAATTTAGATCGGACTTTCTCTCCTGGTCAAGCATATGTTGCCATCAGCCGAGTAACTTCAAAAGATGGTCTTTTCATTGAGACAAATGATGAAAGTGTCCTGCAGAAAAAAATTTATGCTGATTTAGATGTGAAATTAGCCCTCAATAGAATGGAGAGATACATTTTAGATGAAGAATGGACATGCAATTTAACAAAGTTTCGAAATTACAAAACAATTCTTTTGTTTAATGTACAGAGTTTGAGAGGACACTTTCAGGAGATGAATTGTGACAACAGGTTAATGAAAGCTGATTTTGTATGTTTAACAGAAACATGGCTGAGAGAACATGAGAACATTCAAGATATTGAAATTTCAGGGTTTGACTTTCACCATATTGCACGTAACCAGTGTTACAATGATAGTGAAGATGTGATGACAAGATTGAAAACAGCTAAAGGTGGTGGGGTTGGCGTGTACAAGAAGAAAACAAATGAGACAATCTTGATCAATGCTTTAGAATACAAGAATGTAGAGGGATTAACTGTAGAAATACATGAGGAGGATATTGCAATCATTGTGCTCTACCGACCAAGTGTACTGCCTGTAAACAGTTTTCTCGACACATTGCAAAAAGTGGTGGATTTTTACAAGAAACGCTTTAGCAACTTGATTATTATTGGTGACATGAATGAAGATGCTAAAGTGCAAGGACCCATACAAACGTTTTTTGAATCAATGGGATTTATGCAATTAGTGCACTTTTACACAACAGAAGGTGGAACAATATTAGATCATGTATATGTTACTGGTTCTCTGGAAGCCTGTGTGCACAAAAAATCATTGTTTTTCAGTTATCACGAAGCCATTGAAATTCATGTGAGAAATCAATAAAATGAAAAAAGTTCAGACTAATTTTTAGTTCACATTTTTTTGAACAGAATTTACTTTTCATCTTGCTTGATGAGAAATGGATCTAGTCAATCTATTATCAGACATAAACTTTATTTCAAAGTCATTGGTCCTTATACTAAGTTTAGATTTTTCTCTATATTCAATTCGAATTTTGGTACCTTTTCTATGGTTAACAGACCAATTGACATTGTTGGAATGACATATTATTTTTTTTATTAATAATTAAGAAGGGAATATCTTTGTAAAGAAGACCATAGTCTTGAAATTATGTGATATCAAGTATTATATGTTTGTAATATTTGTGTTTTTATTGTGTTTAGAAATCTTCGTTGAGATCAAGATTAGATTCCACATCCATTTTCAATGATCAGACTTCCATGCAGTAAAGTCTAGATGTTTTGAAGATAGAAAACATCTACAAATTGAAGGTAATATATCAACATAAAGTTTTGATGAATGTCTAACATGTAGTACAGTGTAGTATTTCGAGAGGGTTTATTTGCAAGATATAAACATGATAAAGATATTTAACTGAAAAGGAAAATTTTATTAAATATTTCATCAAACATACGTGTGAAAGGAGGCTCATTACACCACTTTTTGATGATTAAATACTTCACAAAAAATTGAACAGGTACCCTACTTACAAGCCCGAAGGGCTTGTAAGTGTCTGTTGAGACTGTAGCTTTACTGGTTTATACTTATAACAAACTAACAGAAAAGTAGCAGTTTGTTCTTCAAACATTAAAACAGCAATTAGAATAATAATCCTTGATTAAGTCACTTTTTTCTGGCAATATACATATTGCAATAAGATTGCAACTAAAGGAGTAGTTTTTAATAAAATTTACAGAATTTCAATTTTAATTAAGACACCACAATGATTAGTGGGTGCCCTATAGTAATCACTCTGTCTGTCTGTCTGTCATTCTTCCTTCCACAAATTTTCTGGCTTTTCCCAATAACTTTTTTTTGGTCGCCCATTTAAGATCAAAGAGCCATAGCTCATTTGATAGTCACTTTCGCCTACTCTAGTAGTGATTTTTAGGTCACCTGAGTAAACTCAGGTGACCTATTGCTATCACTTTTCGTCCGTCGTCGTTCGTCGTTCGTCGTGCGTCGTGCGTCGTGCGTTAACATTTGAACATTTTCAGCTTCTTCTCTGAAACCACTGAACCAATTTCAACCAAATTTGGCATATAGCATCTATGGGTGAAGGGGAACAAAAATTGTGAATTTCATGGGCCCTGCCCCCCTGGGGCCTGGGGGGTGGGGCAAAAACCACTAAAATTAGTGCAATCTTTAAAAATCTTCTTCTTTACTCCTGGACATCAAGCAGTCAAACTGTTTGCATGATTGTAATCAGCATTGAGTCCTCTACCAAAATTGTGAAATTCATGGCCCCGGGGTCAGGGGTTCTGGTGTTAGGGTGGGGCTCTATAGATTATATAGTGAAAATACATAAATTCTATGAAAATCTTCTTCTCTGCTCCTGGGTATTAAATAAACTAACTAAGTGCATAGTTATGATGAGCAAGAGTGCCTCTACCAAAATTGTTAATTTTATGGCCCCAGGGTCAGGGGTTCTGGTGTTAGGGCGGGGCTCTATAGATTATATAGTGAAATTTCATGAATTCTTTGAAAATCTTCTTCTCTGCTCCTGGGTATTAAATAAACTAACTAAGTGCATAGTTATGATGAGCAAGAGTGCCTCTACCAAAATTGTGAATTTTATGGCCCCAGGGTCAGGGGTGCTGGTGTAAGGGGGGGGGGAGCTCTATAGATTACATAGTGAAAATACTTGAATTCTTTGAAAATCTTCTTCTCTGCTCCTGGGTAATAAATAAACTAAATAAGTGCATAGTTATGATGAGCAAGAGTGTCTCTACCAAAATTGTGAATTCTATGGCCCCAGGGTGAGGGGTTCTGGTGTAAGGGGGGGGGGGGCTCTATAGATTATATAGTGAAATTACATGAATTCTTTGAAAATATTCTTCTCTGCTCCTGGGTATTGAATTAACTAACTAAGTGCTTTGTTATGATGAGCAAGAGTGGTTCTACCAAAATTGTGAATTTGATGGCCCCAGGGTCAGGGGTTCAGGTGTTAGGGCGGGGCTCTATAGATTATATAGTGAAAATGCATTTATTCTTTGAAAATCTTCTCTGCTTCTGGGTATTAAATAAACAAAATAAGTGCATAGTTATGATGAGCAAGAGTGCCTCTTCCAAAATTGTGAATTTTATGGCCCCAGGGTCAGGGATTCTAGTGATAGGGTGGGGCTTTATTGATTATACAATAAAAATACACTAAATCTTTGAAAGTTTTCTTCTCTGCTCCTTGGTATTAAGCAGATGAACTACCTATGTAGTTATGATGAGTAAGGGTCCTAATCTTCCAGAATTGTGAATTTCAAGGCCCCAGGGTCAGGGGTACCATAAAGGAGGGGGGGGGGGCTGTACTTATATATTGAAACTGGATGAATTGTTTGAAATCTGCTCCTTGGTATTTATCAAATATTTTTGAAAAGCAAGGGTGCCTTTTCAAAAATTGTGCAATGTGTGGATCTAGGCCTAAGGGTCAGGGGTTCATGTGTGATTGGGGCATTACTGATCATGCTGAATATTGCTGATTACTTGAAATGCATTTTTTGTTCCCCTACCCTGCCTATGGGTATTAAGTAAACAAACTAAGCAACTGCTAAGTGTATTGTTATGATGATCAATGGTGCCTATTTCAAAATTGTGAATGCCATAGCATCTGGATTAAAACATGAATCAAATTCAATCACTGGAAAGTTGTTGCATAATGCTCAGGTGACCTATAAGGCCCATGGGCCTCTTGTTTAAATACTTTTCTTAACCAAAATTTTGTCATACAATGTTAGTTTATACATGCCTTAAAGCAACTCACACAAAAATAATACTCAATTATTAATAGTTCCCTAATATAATAGTTATAAAAATTGTTCAGTTTATATGGAGAATGTAGTAAATACTGAGGTACCCCCCTAAACAATGACAAACTGTAGGAAAAGACCACCCTTAACCAGAAAAACACATCTGTCTCAATTTTATCCATTTGGTTATCAAGACTTCTTGGCGTGGTGGTATGTTTGCTGGACTGAAGACATAACGATCGTAAGTTCGAGTCTCACAGTGCACGTTACTTAATTACAATTTCATTTTTTTTTCTATGGTTCATTTTCCTTTGTTTTCTTTTATTTAATAAATACATGTTTAAATAATTTTTAAGATATGTATAATACAACATTGCATAAAAGATTAAAAAAAAAAATGCTGGATTGATGACATAACAATCTTGAGTACAAGTCTCACAGTGCGTGTTACTTAATTTTGATTTTTTTTTTCTCTGTGTGCATTTTCCTATGTTTTCTTTCATTTTATAAATACATGTATAAATAATTTTTAAAAGAGATATTTAATACAACATTGCATATTGAAAGTATTTTGGGGAAAACAGTCTTAAACTATTTTAATAACCCAAAGTCATAGCTGTTAGCCTGTATTATTTTTAAAATTTCAAACAATCTTGTTTAGAGCAAGTAAAATTACTGTCATGCAACAGACTTGCAACTTTCAAAATATAACACTGGTTCACAAATGATTACATACATGGAGTTTGATTTTGAATTGAAAAGCTTTGTGTATAATCTATAAATAGAAACAAGTGATTTTCTTTTAATACTTGAGTAGGCCGAATCGTCTGTAAGGTAGCTATGGCTCTTTGGTTCTTTGCTTTCTTTCAATAAGAGTACCAAATCCTCTGATGTGCACATGTAGAGTTGAGTACTGAATGGGTAGGCATCATCTGATTGGCTGAATTCAGGTAAGTAATTATCTTAGTCTAACACAGTTGGCCGCAGTAGGGTGTCATCAGTTCAGAAGGTCACAGTATCCAAGACGCTGAGGTTGCAGGACTCAAATTTCATACATGTACTCGGGTAAGTGTAAAGTCTTTAAAAATTACTAAATTGACTAATTCCAAGGTAGGTAACAATATGAGTATAGGAGTGAGAGTACCAAACCTCGGATGTGCACATGGCTTTATTTGTGGTGCATGTAGAGTCGAGTACTGAATGGGTAGGCATTATCTAATTGGCTAAATTCAGGTAAGTAATTATCTTAATTTTAAAGTAAAAATATTAATGTTTGAAATGAATGATGGAATGGGGAAATATTATAGAAAGTATAGAAACGGCAGGGGAAGTTTGAGGAGTGGGGGTTTATTTTTGACATAACATGTTATTTACTGCTGATCTCTCAAAGTTGCGGAAAAGGGCCATTTTGACCTATAAACGCCATGGGACCCTATATTTTTAGCTCACCTGAGCCGAAGGCTCAAGTGAGCTTTTCTGATCAAAATTTGTCCGCCGTCTGTTGTTGTCTTTGTCGTCGTCGTTGTCGTAAACTTTTCACATATTCATCTTCTTCTCCAGAACCAATGGGCCGATTTCAACCAAACTTGGCACAAAGTATTTTTGGGTGAAGGGGATTCAAGTTTGTTCAAATGAAGGGCCACGCCCTTTTCTAAGGGGTGATAATCATGATTTTTAAAAAATAATAATGGCATTTTAACATAATCTTCTTCTCAAGAACCACTGGGCCAGGAAAGATGAAACTCGTGTGGAATCATCCTCAGGTAGAGTAGATTCAAGTTTGTTTAAGTCATGACCCCCCGGGGTAGGGCGGGGCTAAAATGGCCAATCAAAGTTTTACATAGGATATTTATCGGAAAAATCTTTTAATAATCTTCTTCTCAAGAACCACTGGGCCAAGAAAGAAGAAACTCATGTGGAATCATCCTCAGGTAGAGTAGATTCAAGTTTGTTCAAATCATGACCCACGGGGGTAGAGCGTAGCCACAATGGCTGATTAAAGTTTTATATAGGAATACATAAGAAAAATCTTTTTAAAATCTTCTCAAGAACCATTGGGTCATTAAAGATGAAACTCATGTG